TTCCTTTTGGGTGTCCCGTACAGTATGTAGAAATCGAAAGGACGCCCAGATGGCTCCCCCAATAAGTCTACTTCGCGGACTCCCTCTTGATGTAGTTGCTTAAACAGAGTATTGCGTGATACTCCTCTCTTTTTCCTTTCTGCTTCTAGATCAATTTCCTCTTCAATGTCTGTCATCCCATCGTCCTCTTCATCGTTGTAGGCCTCTCCAGAAGTCTGGCCTTCTTCACACACCAACACGCAGGCTTCTCCTTCGTTGTCCTCCCTCTCTTCTTCTTTTTCCTTATTTTTGAACTCATTGGCCAGTAGGTAATTGTTGGCCACGACAGGAGGCAACGTACCGAATTGGATAGTAAGGGGCTGATCTAGGTCTTCCTCATCCTTTTTGTCCCTCTCAAACCTCGATCTCCCAGAAGAGGTCTCTGGCAGTTCTTTCATTGATTCATCTGCACCAGTTTCTTTATTGCTCTTTAGGACGTTTTGATTGGCTACCTTGAGTAGTAGAGGTGCTTTAGGGTGTGGCATTCCTTGTTGCTGCCTCATCATCCGTCCGTAGTTTCGCTGGAAACGCCTTTGTTGAGTCCTGGTTATCTCATCGAAGGGTATCGTTCTTCCTGCGCTGTACTGGAATGAATGCCATACATTTGGCCGGCGAGGTTGCGGCCTAAATGTTCTTCCAACATCTGTTGGTCTGAACTGCCTTTCAAAAGGCGGTCCTCTATAGAACGATGTACCTCGCCCTCTACCAGGTTGAATGTTTGGGAAGAAGGCAGGACGATAGGGATGCTGCCATGTCCCTGGTTTCTCCGTGTCTCCATTTATTTTTCTTTTACATCTTGCACATAGGACGTTTTCGTCCTTTTCTGGTTCTTTTCCTTTGATTCGTTCGAAGACGCTGGGATGTTGTCTTGAATCTTCTTCTCCGTCGTCTATGACTAACTTGAATTTTGGTAACTTGTTCTTGAATCCAGATGTTACCATGTTTACTCCGAGTGGCTGTGGGAAAGGATTCTCGTCCACTGCCATCTTTTTTTTGTCATCGAACGTAATTCGTCCTGACTCAATAGCATCCTGTTCAACGACGTCTTGTGTGAGTTCTCCAAGCAATGCGCGCATGGTCTGAGGACTCAGCTCCGTCATTGGTTCGTAACGACTGTTACTGCTCTGATTTTGTCCATCTGTTCGTGGAGAGGCATGCTGCTCCTCATATCGCTCGATTACAGACTGGATTCCTCCTTGACTTGCTCCATCCTTGTCGGATCTCTGAGGCATATTGTTTTACCTTTTGTACTTTCAACACCTAACACCACTTGTCCCACTGGGCGTGCCAAGTTGTTTCGCGCGGGTTAACTCGCTAACAATTAAAGGGGATCAGACGATTGTGTAAGGGACGAAACCTCTTGAAACAAAGTCCCAAAAAGGGGTGTTCTTTTATTGGCGATGAACTTTACAATTGGAAACGAAAAAAACAACGTGCCTCCAAGGGGCGCAAGCACACGAGTTACAGAAAGGAAAGTGTTTAAGTCTAAAAGCTAAAGAAATAAAAATTACATATTCTCTTGTTCGAGAGTTTTGGATTCGGTCTTTTGCTTCTACGCCTTTTCTCCCTTTTATACCTCATAGACGATCTCTTTGTGATTAACTACTCTGAAAACTGCTTGATCGTCCTATAACTACCCACTTTCTTTGTAGTGGCCATTTTGTCATGAAACCGCCTTTTAACTGCTGTCATTATCTTTCATCGTCCAACTGCCTTCGATTGACTTTCTTGAGTTGTGGAACGTGATAAGGCTGCTTTAACAACTGCCTTGATAACTGCATTCCTTGATAATTACGATGCGTTATGTTTGTTGACACTTTAGGCGACTTGAAGGTTTGGGCGAGAGTAGAATAACAGCTCTGGGCGACCGTATGACACCCGTTCGTTCAGATTCTGAGCGACTTGCAAACTTGGGCGATGGCATTACCGCATTCTTGGGCCTCTTGTTTGGGCCTTCACCTTGACTCGTTTGATTGAACTTCATTCTTTGGGCTGTCTGTTTTGGGGATTCTTCAATTGGGCTTTACTCCTTGGGCTGTTCGACTTGGGCTGAATTTTTATGTGTCAACAGACTTTGCTAAAGCTTTAATTTGAACCCTAGCAACAAAAGAGATCTTTTACCTCCATTATCATTGTGGCAACTTATGGTTTTAATTATCAAATGCGAGCGAGATAACTTGGTTCTTTGTTGTCTGATTTTTATGCTTTCTTCAATGAGCATATTTTCATTTTATTATAACTTTTACACGTATATTTCTCCTGGAATATGAAACCGGGCCATTTTGGGAACGTCAGCAACTAGTGTGTTCACAATGCCAAGTGCCAGGATCTTGTTGGGCAGAAGAAAGGCATTATACTGCCTTGTAAATATAGTATATTTTCTATGTACATGAATGAGAACCTGGTCTACGTATTGGACACGGTAGCTGTTACTGTAGCTTCTGCTGAAAATTTATTTAATTTTTTTAAAAGGCTCGGCATATCGTGGGCCGGCGAGCCACACAGACTGGCAAAGGCTTGAGTCACCAGTCCGCAAGTGGGGTCAGCTCGAGGTTTTCTGGGCGAGCCACGAGTCGTTCGAATCGACGAGTCAAATTGACATCCCTACTAATATCATATCGTATACAGATCATTTCCAACGAGTCCCAACAAATCTCAGTAATCTGCTCAAAAAGTCCCTATTCAATTCTTAATCACACAAAAACATCCACGAAATTTCCATGTGCCGGTCTCTGTAATCCCCTTTACAATTCTTATTAATCACACAAAAACATCCACGAAATTCCTGGTGCGCGGAGCCAGTGAGAAATTTTAATTATTAATTATTATATTTTTACATTAAAATTGAATGGGTCTTTCCCCTCGCTACGCCCCTTAACGTGCCCATAAATATTCGCAGTCTTTTGAAATTAATTGGAAAGGTCTTTTCCCTTATTGCTTTCTCCCCAATTAATCATCATTTTCAAACGATTCTTATTCTTCATTGAAATCTCTCTTAGAAAGAAATGCTGCAGTTCAGGAGCATCTTTTTCAGTCATTCAGGTCTGTCCCTCTCGCATTATGTGTACAGAAAAATGATTGTGTATGTTACTGAGTCAAGGGTTCATCTTAAAAACCAACCTTGTTAACCTGCCAGCAAGACCGTGTCTTGGAATCCGACTGCTTTCAAACCATAGTGAACTTTGCAAAAAACTTCGATAGGGTCACTCAACTTTACAAAAGATTTTCACGAGATCACTAAACTTTATAAATCATCACATTCATCACCGAACTTTACAAAAAAATTTCGAGAGATCATTAATACTAATTCAGTGATTCCTTGAAAATTCTTTTGCAAAGTTTAGTGCCTGAAAATCTTTTACAAACTCTAGTGACGAATGAAATGATTTTTAAAGTTCAGTCATCCGGTGTAAATCTTTTGCAAAGTTTAGTGACCCCGTGGATTCGAATGTGGAATTTAGCAAAGAAGTCGGGAGCCTACTCTCAGGGTGAACCAAGGAATGGCTCAGTACGTGGGCAGGGTGACATGGAAGGGATTGGGTTTTTTGAACTTCTTAATGAATTCCTAAGCAGTCTTCCGATTCCACCCAAAAAAAGAAAAGAAGGTATTCCATGTGACCTGCGGATCAAAGAAGCACATTATAGGCACAGGAGAGGAAGGTGATTTTGAGAATGGAGCCGTTTGAAAAGTTGGAGAACATACATGGAATATTTTACCAAAAATAAAACAATTATAAGAGGTGGCTAATATTCATGTGCCACATCATTTTTTTATTTGCTATGTAGACATATTTGTTTAGCCGTATATATGGAATTAGCTTTGAGGAGCATTGAGTAAAGTAATGAATAGGTCAGTGAGCATTGAGTAACTATTTAAAATTTAGTGAGCAAGAAATAACCTAGTTATAAGTTCAGTAAGCACTCATTTAATTAACTCGTATATGTATATTTAAGCAACTTGAGATTTCCCCTTAACATCATTCTACATTAACATTTGACGGCTTGCTTAATCTAGCCATGAATTGTGGGGTTTTTTGGAAAGTAAAAGTCTGGTAGCTGTTAAAGAAAAAGATTGATGTTGACTGGAATTAAAGGTTCTTGCTTATTTGCCAAGTTATCATTCAATTTAAGCTTCTTTTCCCTCTTTCCTTGCAATTACCTTATGTTCATTTCCTCCATGTATATAAATTGAATGGTCACTTGATGACTCTTGCTTATCCTTGTCAAGGCTGTTCAAAACATTGGGGAGTTTAATGTATTTCACCAAATATTTAGCTACTGTACACGTGTAAAATGTATTTGTCTGGAAGTTCGGGGAAGAGACTTGGTGTTTAAGAGTCTATTTGAAGTTGTGGTACCTTGTCATCTTCTCTCTCTTATCTGTCTTGACTATTATGAGTTATGGAATTCACAATTCATTTTATCTTATCATGCATTATATGGAAAGTCATGATCTATTATTGCATTCATTTTATAAATTCAAGGAAGATTTGGACTTTGATGGGCTTGTTGAATTTGTTGATTTTTGTCTTGTTGATTTGTAATTGAAATTTGACTTTTGTTTTGGATTTCTGGATAATTGATTGGTACAGGTTACTTTGATTCATATAGCGAAAAACGAGGTCGGGCTGCTTTAAGAATTTTGAGATTTTCGTAGGTAATTTTTTATTGGTTTGATGGGGGCCAAAAGTTCTACGTCTAGTGAAGGGAGGAGTTGGAGGCAATCTTACTCAAGTCGGTCTACTTCTTCATCGTCATGGAATTATGATTTTTTTCAATCATCAGTTTCACAATATGCTGAGAGTTATCCTGTCCAGCAAACATATTCAGCTGAATATCCACCACCAGACCAGTACGATGCTCCTCCCATTTATGGGGCTCCATCCCATTCACATGCACCACAAAAGAAGCTCGACAGGAGGTATTCAAGGATTGCGGACAAGTATAATTCGTTAAAGGAGGTAGGTATATGCTCCATGGAATCAACAATTTCCTGTGATCTCATCTAGCAAAACCTGTGTTTGTTTTTGTAAAACACGTAAGGAAATCCTCGCTCATCCTGACACAGATGTTTCTAAAACTTCATTTCGTATCATGAAATGGAATCTTCTAAACAGCTTATTTTTGCATTTTGATGCTGCATATGATAAAATAGCAGTTCTATTTTAAATAATACTTTGAACATCTCTACTGACACGATTAAGCAATTGAAGGCAAGTTGTTTCTCAATCAATTATTGGAAACTAAGCACGAGGAGATTTATACCCTACGGAATTGCTATATCACTCATGTGCTCATCATCATCTAATTTTTCAGAACATAGCATGTATTTCATCAACTCTGCAGGCTGTTTGCTAGTAGCTTTAGAAACAACAAACAAGCTTTGAGATTAAAAGTAAAACTAAGCTTACATAAAACCATTATTACTCAAGGTAGAAGCACAGACATAGGGGTATGAATGTTTAGATTCGAGTAGTATATCCAGAAGAACTCTCTCTGGATGCATTTTTCAAGTTTCAGCTAGTTTTGTAGAGAGATATAGGAGATTGAAATGCAAATATTGATTTTAAGAGGAGAATTGTTCAGAAGTATGTTGTGATTGTCTGACGTGTTTTTAGTTGAGAAGAATATTGCAAAATTGATATTGCACTTCTATATTTTGCCCTGTTTTACTTATGGCCTTACATTGTGGGCCACTGAGAGTAATATAAGAATAAAAATCCCACTTACGCCGTTATATTGGGACAGATATCTGACAAAAAACTGGGTGCAGGTCACCAATTTTAATACATTCATAAATCTGAGGCCAATATTTATAACTTGGGTGGCTGGTTGAAGACCAGAGTTTATGCTGAAGAATAAAGAAATTGCTGAATCATTCAACTTCTGAGTATTTTACCTTCTGAGTGCAGTGTGCATGTCGTCAGAGTTTTAATGTATATGCTGCTTTATTTATTTCTACTACTTCCGTAGTTTTTAAAAATATTTCGTAATGTGAATTTTCTTGTCTTTTCATGTTTTACCTTTCACATGAGTTAGAAGTATGACACTATATTTTGTTCAGGTGACTGAAGCTCTTGCACGTGCTGGACTTGAGTCTTCAAATCTAATTGTTGGTATTGATTTCACTAAGAGCAATGAATGGACAGGTTGAGATTGGGTTTTTCTTGTTTAGAAATCTTGTTCAGTATTATGAGGTACAGTAAAGCATTTTGAACGATCTGTTATTAGGTAAAAGGTCATTCAATGGTAGAAGCTTACATCACGTTGGATGTGGTTTGAATCCTTATGAACAAGCAATATCCATCATTGGGAAAACCTTGGCTGCTTTTGATGAGGACAACTTGATTCCCTGTTTTGGATTTGGAGATGGTATGACATTTTAACTTGATTTGTTTCTGAAATTTCAGAATTGACTTATTCTAATAGTTCAAGTTATAAAGAGACTTATTCAAATAGTACAAGTTAAAACCTGTCTTTGTCTTCCTATGAATTTTGACAGCATCCACACATGATCAAGACATATTCAGCTTCTATCCTGATCAAAGATTTTGCAACGGATTTGAGGAAGTGTTGAGTCGTTACAGAGAGATTGTTCCTCATGTAAAACTTGCAGGTTTGATACCTCTTGTCCGTCGAGGTTCGCAGCCTAGCTTTAGACTTAGATGTAATTGGACTATAACGCTTAGTTGTTGCTCACTTTTGCTTCAGGACCAACATCATTTGCCCCTATTATTGAAATGGCCATGAGTATTGTCAAGCAGAGTGGAGGACAATACCATGTTTTACTGATTATTGCAGATGGGCAGGTACTTCATTTTGTCCATTAGTCCATATATAAAGTTTTTAACATTCTAAGCCAGGGAAAGGGAAAAAAATTCTTCAAGATAGCTTTTACCAGGAGTGAATGGTTATAAAGAAGGACAAAGCTCATAAGATACACATTATGTGATTTTGGTAGAAATTATTTTGTAAATATTCCATGCATGAACTCGTTATGATAAAAATGGTGTATTCCTATAGGTTACTAGAAGTGTAGATACTGAATTCGGTCAGCTAAGTCCACAAGAACAGAGAACTATTCAAGCCATTGTTGAAGCAAGGTAAATTTTCTGCATATTTCTAAGTCAGTCTGTCAATTTTGTGATCATTTTGCCAACTTTACATGTTAATGATCAAATGTTGTCAGCAAGTTGCCGTTGTCTATCATTTTGGTTGGGGTTGGAGATGGACCCTGGGACATGATGAATGAATTTGATGATAACATTCCAGTTCGGGACTTCGATAATTTCCAGGTCAGTTTTAATGGCTTGTCATATATTGTAAATTCTAGTGAGCAGATACGTTACTTGGATATATTTGGTACGTTTGACTGACAAACTTTTTTCCTTGTCAGTTTGTCAATTTTACAGAGATTATGTGCAAAAATGTGCACCAATCACGAAAAGAGACAGAATTTGCTCTTGCGGCATTGATGGAAATTCCGTCTCAATATAAAGCAACAATGGAGCTAAATTTGTTGGGGTAATATATACTTTATATTCTTTTTTACGTGTGCGCGACTGGGGTGCATGCATTATTCATTCCTATTTGCTAGGGTGACAGAATAGTACTCACTTTGTCTTTTGGATGTTTGCTCTTAATCTGGTGTTCATTATCCATTGTATGCATGATTTGGCAGACAAAATGGAAATGCTCCTGATAGGGTTCCTCGTCCACCTCCAGCATACGTTGCAGTATCTGGCACCAATTTGAAACCTGACCGTGCAACTAGTTCTCAGCAGAGTTCAAGTTCATATTATGACACCAACGGCTCTGCCGACACAGTTCCATCTGCTCCGAGATCAGCGTACGACGACCAGGTAATTCTATATGTATGTAACTATATATGCCTCTGCTTTTCGTGTGTACCTTGGGAGTGCTTATTAAACTACTAGTATTAGGACAAGTTGTTTTGTCTTTTTGATTGTAAATATCAGTAAAAACATGCTGATAGTTTTCTTGGTGTGGAACAGATTTGTCCTGTTTGCCTTAGTGACCCAAAGGACATGGCATTTGGTTGTGGGCATCAGGTATTGTAAATGGTTTAACCAGTTTTTCACCCAACTTATAACATTATATTACTTTAGTCACCGAACTTTTTTTGTTCTAAATTAGTAAAAGAAATTTCTGTTTCAGTTTAGGCAGTTCATTTAACTCCATCCTAAATGAATGGACTATTGTGGCTAATGGAAAATAGATATGGCTTGAAAAATCCTTGAGCGCATTGTTTTTATCATCCACATGAACAAAGCACGTCTTGTTAGACTAGTTGTGCTTTTGTAATGAATAAAAGAAAAACATATATATTTCGAAGGATCTTGTAGCCCCGTCCCCCTCACAATCATGATCACATTATCATTTTCGTTAATTTAGTAGACGAAGTGCCATAACTAAAAGAACAATGAGAGTTCATTGGCTACTTTGAAACAAAGAAAGTTTGTTGACCTACGGTCTTTTTTTACCCATCATCCAATTGTATTTCTATGAATCTACTATCTATGTAGGATATTAGTATTTACTGATTTTTCTTTGTTCAGACATGTTGCGACTGTGGAAAAGACCTTCAGCTTTGTCCAATTTGCCGGAGTTCAATCCAAACCAGAATAAAACTCTACTGAGTAGCTTGTTTGCTCGGTTAAACCATAGCTTCTGCTGAAAAACTAAAAGATTAGCATGGCTCGCTTTGATCTTACTTTTGGTTGACTATCTCGGTCATTTTCTGTCCCAATCTCCCACCCCTTGTGTGCCAAATTCTTTTAATTTGTTCTTGATGTAAAAAAACATTAGTGTGGGTTGTTGCATCCTTGTTAGTCTCATTACCTTATTTATGTAAATCATCTGATTGTCATTTGTTTATTTTGTTTCCTCTAAAAATGAAAGGTCTGACCAATAACCCCAATGGTCATCAGTTCGAGTCTCTTTAGGGTCACTGAGATGAGTATTCTACTATAAATTTTAGGACCTTGTGGGATTAATTGAAGTGCGCTTAAACTGGCCTGGACACTTACGGTCTTAAAAAAAATAAAAATAAATAAATAAAATGAAAGGTCTTTGACACGACCTGTCCCGAATCACTCTAGTGGACCCGAAACGTGACGTGCACCGATGATAGATGTTGACTAGATGTCAAATCTAGCCGATGATAGATGTTAATTAGATGTCAAATCTATCACAAAGGTTGACTATGAGTTATTTCAAGAAATGCAACAAAATAAAATGCTTATGTAAAACATAATGAGATGAGCCCAAATTATTTATTTCGTGCTTCATCAATATGAGTTATAATATTCAACATGTCGTGTGGCCCTCATTTCGAAATCATTAGGCTCTTCCAGCTAAAAGAATCAATTGATACTTGTAAGAAAGTTTCGGAAAAATGTATGAGTTTATAGATCAGTGAGTGGAAGAGTTCGAAAATAATTATCAAACATTTTTACCAAACATTCAGTTCATATCGTTTAATATTCACATAATAGACTCATACAATTATAGCAAAAAGTAAGTCATTCTTATAACATAATAAATATCATCTCATAATCACGATATAGTCATCAGCTAATAATCACGTTATAATCTCATCACATTAAACATACTAAAAAATCCACCAAAAATGTACCCTGTGACTGAAATATATAATTCGCCCCTCGGGCTAAGAACTTTCGTTACGGGCCTTTGACCCCTCCGTGAATGAAAGTCGGTCTCAAAGACTTCTGGTAATCAATTCTAGAATACGGCCAAGGTCCCTCAGTGAACTATATGTACACGGTTGAGACCCCTTCATCCTCAGTCCAAGACCTCTCAATGTAATATAGAATATGGCCAAGGCCTCTTAGTGAACTAGAAGAAATATATAATCACGGGTACTTTTTTGGTCGATCTCAAAATTATATCTCATATTCCAATTCACAATGTAACGTATACAATCTTTGAAATCCCACATGTATCATAATAAAAGATATTTCCATAATAACCATATAATTCAAACACATAATTGCATATAATTGCACATACTTTAATAATATACTTAATTTATAAATACTTTAAAAATATTTATATTTTTCCACTCACAGTACTATGTTCGCAAAATCAACTCGATTGGTAAGCTGTTTTAATGTCAGTATCGTCGCCTGAAATACGATATAATTTTTAAATAAATAATTAATTATTTTAAATAATTTCAATAATTAAATAGACAATACCCAGACTTAATCATTTCACGTTTAAGCGATTTTTACAATTTCTTTAATCACAAAACTAATTTTTCTTTCACTTTACTCAATTTTATAGTTTATTAAACATAACCCCTTCAATAAAATTGAATTTAGTCTAATAATCTAACAACTATAAAATCAAACATAACTTAACAATAAGTAACTTTTTTACTTACCTTTCAAAATTGAGGAATTCAAGTCTAATATTGTAGACCACTTATTTTTTAACAACATAGACGAACTTTTTTTTCTTCCTTTTCTCCTTTTTCCTTTCTCTTATCTCTTCCTCTTTTCTTCCTTTCTTTCTACCGATTTTCCACTGTTTCTGCCCCAATTGTTCTCAGCTTGCTTGTGTGTATGTATATAATATGAATAATGAAGAAATGGCATGCAAAGTGCCACTTGTAATCAACCACTCAACCGTTTTGCTATCAAGTCCTTCAAACTTCATATGATATCTTATTAAGTCATCTAACTTTTAATAATTAATAAGTATTTCCCCAAATTTAAATTTTATCCATCTTAAACCTTCTAATGTTGTCAATTTGTAAAATAAACTCCCAAAAATAATTTGGTCAATTCAAGCCCCACTAAAATGATTTACATCATTTAAGTCATTATTTGACTTTGACTAATCAAACATTGACTTTGAATAAATAGTATTGACCTTGGACTAATACGAAATGGGATGTAACAGTCTTAACACCTAATGATTACTAAGGAAGAAACTTACGTAATCTATAAACTCCTCGATTGTTAAATCGTGTTTGGATTTTTGTTTTATGCAATTGTAATTTGGGTTGATATTCTAATAAGATTTATTTATTTATTTTTAAACGAGGATACTACTAAGCTCGTTGTTCCTTTGCATCGATTATCAGATGAGCATATACACGTATCAGTGTGTTAACATTCACAATCACAATTTAGCCCTTGTTTGACAACCATTCTTTCTAATTCTTTGTTCATTGTTTGTTGGTGGGATTATGCTCATGTTAATTGATAAAATTGAGAGTTCTTTTTAGTATTCCTATTGCATTTTTGATATTTCGATATAAAAAGGGCAGACTGTTAAATAACAATGTCATAGTCGATAGTGAAAGGTTTTTTTTTCCCTTTCGGTTGAGTGATTTCATACCTCTTCCTTGGGTCTTGCTTCATGCCATTGAGTTTGTGAAACATGAGTTCAAAATCATATAGAAATGTTATTTGTGTGATAAGGCATTCTCAAATGAGATTTTGTTTATTTTTTTGATTGAAAAATGGGATTTTGTAGCAAGTTGGTGTGGATATATACATCTAAAAATGTGGACGTGACGATCAAGTTTAAAATTTCACATAAACGTTTACATTTATAAGTAATGATGTATACTAATGCTATTCATAGTCATCGAATACTGTAGTCTATCTACATGGCATTCTACATGCCGTAGATGTAATTACTCAAATTTAATAATTAAAATAGAAAGAAATGTGAAATTAATTCCATCTCTCCACTCTCGTAGATTGTTCATCTTCCCTAAAATTTCAAAATGCCATTCAACCTACGTTTTTATCTTCTCAAATTTCCTCTCTTGAATAAGTGGATTCCCTCCCCCCAAACGGCCAAAGATTCCACCGCATATGCTCTCCATCGAATATTGGCCTTCAGTGTATCTCGATAGTTGGCGATCATTGTTTTCATCAACAAGAAATTGGTGTTCGATATCTATTGCTCCGTCAAAGTAAAATTATATACGTGGTTCTTTAATTTGTTAAGTTCTTTACCATAAAAAAATCAAATTATTGCAACGAACAAAAAATTGATGCTCGATCTGCAAACTAATCATTGCTTGTCAATTTTTTTTTTTATTAATAATATTTGCTTTCTTGATTCTCATGAATTGTGGGATCTTTATTAATACTAGTGAATGTAGGTGCGTTGCACGTGTAGTGGGTGAGGAAGCATAAATGACAAATGTTGAATTTTGGTTTTCTAGGATTTCAAGGGAAAAATGAAACCTGCTTTGAATGGAAGAACAAAATTAATTGTACGGAATCTCCACCGAGTTTAGCTATGAAATTAACTATTGGCATGAAATTCATCTACCTCGATTTTCTTCTAGCATAGCAAGAAATCATAAGTTAGCTCAAGAAAGAAAATATCAATGCCAAGATCATACGAAATTTATGCCTCTATGTTCCTTCGCATGACTAGATCCATCTTGCTCAAAGAAACTCTGATGTTATAATGAAACAGAGAGGGTAGGAGAGACACATAACATTGTTCAATTAGAGACATAATATTCATGTCATGACACAATATTACTTCCTATAATTAGTATGTACACATAAGAAAGTGTTGAAGACCAAATCTAACAGCTGAAGCAACAAATATGAAGTTCTTGACATCTAAGGAATAATTGATATAGGCTGCGAAATGCAACCGTTAGGAAGAGTAATAGTAGTAGTATGAACAATTACATAGAGATCAAACTCGAACTAAAACCATGGCAAATGAATGATTTTAAGTGTTTGTGGTTTTACTTCAGACATGAGTGGAGTGAGTTGTTGATTTTATTTTCGCAAGAGTATGGACCATAACAACTAGTAAGTGGACCTATGAGTCTGAATTGTTGATCTCACGAGAACTATACTCTAGCACTTAGTTCAATTTTTTTAACTACTATTTGATGAGATTAAAACTTGTAAGATTTGAGTTTTAATCTAAATACAAGAAAATACATGGATGCATGCACGATTTGTTTGAAAATCAAATAATGAAATGACGTTAGGAAAGAATAATTTCACCTATTGGTCACATTTACGTCTTAAATTAATACTCCATTTGGCCCTCATTAATTTCCTTTCCATTCCATTCCATTTCACTTTTTCCTCTCCTATTTTCAACCACGCAATTTTTCATAACATAATATTATGCGTAAATCAAAATTTTTTCCTTTTTTTTCAACTACTCATTTAAAAAAAACACCATTCCACCCATTTTCGTTTCCTCAAAATGGGGACCAAATGAGGGCTAATATTCACATCTAATGTAATGTTTGGTCAAATTCTCCCATTATATTCAACTTACCCCTCTCGAGTTTTTATTGAACCTATTTAATTAATTCAATTCCTCGTCTCTATGCGAGTCTAACTTAGTTAAACGACTTCTTTGTCTTAGAAATCAATTATGACCGCAATAATTAGTATAAGTCTCTTTACCTGTTATACCAATTTACCCGATTTTACTATATGGTCTAAATCCTATACTCATCTCTATTTGTAAAGAATTTACAAATCATTAAATTAGTGGTCAATTAATTTAATGCATTCAATTCTTAATAAAATCAACATATGAAACAATAAAAACCAAGAATCTTAATAAAAAAAAATGTAAAAGACTCCAATTGGTTACATTATTCGCCCTAACAACAGATTTAGTTATTCATAATGAAAAATGAAAAACAATAAATTGTCTTAAAATATATCATCGAATTTGTAGTAAAGATGTAGAAGAAAAATTATAATTCTTGCATCAAGATCTCATTCCTCTTTCAATCAATGCGCCAAACCTTTGATTGCTTGATGTTTTCCTTTTTTGAATTCCTCTTTTGATTCTCCAATAATGTTTCTTGCCTCTCAATGTGTGAATCCCCTTCAAAATTATGAGACAATTGTATTTATAGGTGTCTCATCGTGAGTGTAAAAAGTAGGGATTTTATGGACTTCAAAATTGGCAAAAAACGCACCCTAGACGCACCCAGGTGGCACCTTGATGGTGGTACCGCAACTCTGTTTTGGTGGCACCTCGGCGCCGCGGCACCACCTTTTGGCTAAAAATTCTGGTTGCACTTCTTTCAATATTTTTAACAAAATTTTCTTTCAGTACTCGATTGAGGCGATTCAAAATGCGTTAGAAAGAAAACTCAAAAGGCTACAACTTTGCTCAAATTCGATCAATTGCTATGTAAAAAACGGGTCTCAATATGAGGTTGAAAACCGTGAATAACTTTTTTTCGGTTGGAAATTGATGTGTCATCATACTTTGATTATGTTTCATCCCTTTGGCATTTTTCTTTATCCAATTGACTCCGAGCACTCTTGAATCTTCATATGAGGTCCGACACAACTTTTGAGTATATGTACTTTAGTCCCTGAACTTTGGATTTTGATCTTTTTCCTAGTTTTCCTCTTGCTTTTTTCCAATTTCTTGTACCATCATTGAATTTTATGTATTCAATATCAAATGCAACAATTTATACCATAATTCATCCGAGAAGCAATTAAATATCATCGTTTTAAGGTCTTAAGTAGGTGTATAAAATACACTTATTAAAGTGAAATATCAGAACCAACATACCTGACCCCAAATGAGTATAGGATAACATTTGATCAAGTCTTTGAGTTTAAACAAGTTTTACATCTGATAATTAGTTCATCATTGTTATTTGCGACCCTTTTTCCACTTCAATCCAACTTGAAAGCACATAAGTTCGCTTTCCAAAACATAAAGAATTAACTGGAATTATACTTCTGTTCTTTTTCCTTTTGTGCATAAGAACGAGAATTCATTTACTTAAATGTAAAAAAGGCTACAGAGTGTGTAATTGTGTGTCGTGAATTGGAGGTGTGCGTGTGTTCTTGTGTGAGGCCCTATGTTTTGTGTGTGCGTGTGTTTTATAAAACAATTTTTTTCCAGTAATTGCTCCATGCGACTGCATAGAGTTGATGCTTGCGGTCGCATAGAGCAAAAAGGTAGTGCCATTTAAGGCCCTACATCCTGCAATGCGACCGCAAGGCAGGTATGTCTATGTGATCGCATAGACTACCTACTGCACCAATTTTTTTTTCAGAGCACGTGGACAATAAAATAAAAAAAATTAAATTTGCACTCGACCCAAATCTTGTCAAATTTGAAATCATCCTTGATCCTCAAACCTTGAATGGCACACTATTTGCCTCGAATTACGTGAAACTTCGACCCAACCACCTAAACACCAATTTGAACCTCCTGACTTGTGCTCAATACATTAGGACGAGTGTGGACCAGACTTTAACTCCATGTGACCTATATGGATGACTGATGATCTATAATTACTAAAAATTCTAAAATATGAAATATTCCTAAACTAATGCAGGAAAAACAAATTAAACAAAAAGGATACAATGTGTTGCCTCCCATCCAGCGTTGGTTTGAGCTCTACTCTCTCGTGTTTGCTTCATTTTGGTATTTTGAGATGGACGGTGGACTTTTCCTTGGAAAATTCTTCCCTCCAATAATTCTTCAGCCTCGTCCATTGACTGTGAAGTTCCCCTTGCTTTTATGGCCAATCTCAATGGCTCTATTTGGTAGCACCTTCGTGATAGTGTAAAGACCTTACCAACTTGACCTCAGTTTGCCCAAGAAGAGTTTGAGTCTTGACTTATACAACAACACTTTCTGACCAACTTCGAACTCTCGCCTCTGAATATGTAGGTCATGCTACTTTTTGGTATGTTCATCGTAGAGTTTTGAATTCTCAAATGATTCCATTTCGAACTTATCCAACTCACTAAGTTGTAGCAGACGCTTCTCACCGGTTGCTTTCAAATCTATATTCAACTGTTTCATTGCCTAATATGCACAGTGCTCTAACTGAAGTGGTAGGTGGCACGTTTTTCCAAAAATAAGGTGGAATGGAGACATGTCTATTGGGGTCTTCAATGTCGTTCTATAAGCCCATAGTGCATCGTCCAACTTCTTAGACCAATCTTTTCTTGAAGAACTCACCTTGACTTCAAGTATCCTCTTCAACTGTCGATTTAAGACTTCAACTTGCCCATTGGTTTGAGGATGATATGGGGTGTCTACTCAATGTTTGATGCTATATTTACTCAAGAGCTGCTCAAACTAGCGATTGCAGAAATGTTTGCCCCTATCACTGATTATAACCCGCGATGTGCCATAATGGGTGAAGATGTACTTCTTTAGGAATCCAATTACCACCTTAGCATCGTTGATTGAAAATGCTATTGCTTCTACCTACTTTGATACATAGTCAACTGCTACCAGGATGTATTGGTTGAAGAAAGATGGAGGAAACGGTCTCATACAATCAATTCTCCAAAGATTAAATATTTCCACCTCCAAGATGCTATTTAGTGGCATTTCATTCCTTCTTGAGACGTTTCCAGTGCGTTGACATCTATCACACCTCTTCACAAATTCGAAGGCATCCCTGAACAATGTTGGCCCGTAAAACCCCAATTGTAAAACCTTGGCTACTGTCTTCAAAGCCCCAAAGTGACCCGCATATGTAGATGAATGACAATGTTCCAGAATTTGAGGCACTTCTTCTTCAGGCGCACACCGTCGAATAATCTGATATGCCCTTCGCCTATAGAGAATTGGATCCTCATAGAAATAGTATTTTAACTCTACAAAGAACTTTTTCCTCTGGTGGCTGAGTAATCTGGTGGTGAGATAGATTTGGCCAAGTAGTTTACTATGTCTGCATACCACAGTGCTCCTTCCATACTGAAGATATGCTCATCTAGGAATATCTTGTTTATGTCAACTCAGGTTCCAATCGAGATGAGTGACCTGCTACAACATTTTCGCTGTCCTTTTTGTCCTTGATTTCTATATCAAATTCTTGCAGCAGTAAAACCCAGCGGATCAATCTCGATTTAGCGTCATTCTTTGTCACTAGATACTTGAATTCGACATAATCTGTGTACACTATGACCTTAGACCAAACAAAATACGACCTGAATTTGTCAAAGGCATAAACCATAGTCGATAGCTCATTCTCTGTGGTTGCATAGTTGATCTGTGCGTCATTTAGGGTTTTGCTTGCTTAATAGATCACATAGAAGATTTCATTTTTCCTCTGTCCCAATACGGCCCCACAACATGATGATCACTGGCATCACACATTAGCTCAAATGATATTTCCCAATCTAGTGTCACGATTACCAGTGCTGAAGTGAGTTTTTCCTTCAAGGTATTGAAGGCTGTCAAGCATTCCTCTATAAATTCAGACGGTACGACCTTCATCAGTAAGTTACATAACATCTTTGTAATTTTTGAGAAATTTTTGATGAATCTTCTGTAAAATCCAACATGTCCCAGAAAACTACGAACGCTTTTTACTGATGTAGGTTGTAGTAGCTTTTTAATGACCTGAATCTTTACTTTGTCCAACTCGATTCCCTTTGCTGATACTCGATTCCCAGTACAATTCCCTCCTGTGCCATAAAGTGACATTTCTCCCAATTCAATACTAAATTAGTTTTCTTGCATCTTTGTAAGATCAAATTTAAGTGCTCCAAATACTCGTCAAATGAGAACCCAAAGATTGAGAAATCATCTATGAATATTTCTATGAACTTCTCCACCATGTCTGAGAAAATTATCATCATGCATCTCTTAAATGTGGCAAGAGTGTTGCAAAGGCCCAAGGGCATCCTACAGTATGCAAAGATACCATAGGGATAAGTGAAAGTAGTTTTTTACTGGTCATCTGGTGCCACTGATATCAGATTGTAACTTCAGTACCCATCGATAAAGCAATAATATAAGTGGCCTGCTAATCTTTTCAGCATCTGATCAATAAATGAAAGGAGAAAGTGATCTTTCCTTGTGGCTACATTAAGTTTTCGATAATCGATGCAAACCCTCCATCTCGTCATAGTTCTGGTGGAAATTAGTTTATTCTTCTCATTTGGCACTACCGTGATTCCACCTTTCTTTGGCACCAACTGAACTGGGCTAGTCCATGCATTGTCTAATATAGGATATATGATTCTTGCATCCAGAAGCTTGAATACCTCTGCTCTGACCACTTCCTTCATATTAGGATTCAACCTCCTATGACCTTCTATGGTTGGTCGAAAATTCTCCTCCATAAGAATCTTATGCATATATAGTGAAGGGTTGATCCCTTTGATATCTATTATAGTCCATTCAATTGTTGTTTTATTCTCCGTGAGTACCCTAAGTAGTTTCTCTTCTTCCACTTTGCTAACTATGTTCGAGATAATGATCAAGAGCGTACAAGACTTCCCAAGTAGGCATATCTGAGATATGGTGGCAATTGCTTGAGTTTCAATTTATGTGGCTACTGAATGGATGTAGTGGCTTCGTGGGTCCTGTTCCAAGCTCCCCAAAATACCTTCTGTGTGTATAAGGTGGGTTGGTATTTAAAAATCTTGCACATGTTTCAATCTTCACATAATCGGAATGTGTTGATTGAGTGTGCAATGCAAGCCTCGTAAGCATCAGATGGATTATGTAGCAAGAATGAATCTTGAACCACCCTGTCAATCACGTCGATCTGGAAACAGCTATCTGACTTTATAGGTAGCTTCATCACTTTGAAGACATTAAAAGAAATCTGTTCTTCTCCCAATCTCAGAATCAACTGTCCTTTATGAAGATCAATAAGAGTTTTGCTTGAGGATAAGAACGAGCTGCCCAATATCAGTGGAATGTCCTTGTCTTCCTCCATATCCAAAATGAGAAAATCAGTAGGGAAGATGAATTTTTCCACTTTGAACAATACTTCTTCAATTATCCCTCGTGGATGTGTCAAGGATCTATCAGCTAACTGCGATGTCATAGTGTTAGCCTTGGCTTTTCCCAATCCAAGTTTCTTGAAAACAGACAGAGGCATTAAATTTATACTTGTTCCAAGGTAACATAAAGCTTTATCAAAATTTACTTCACCAATAGTACAATGGACAGTGAAACTCCCTGGATATTTCAATTTCGGTGAGAGTTTCTTCTGAATTCTAGCGCTGCATTCCTCAGTTAGCATGACCATCTCATATTCTCCTAGGTTACGTTTATTTGATATGATGTCCTTTAGAAACTTTGCGTAGCTAAGCATCTAGACTAGTGTTTCCGCAAATGGGATGTTTATGTGGAGCTTCTTGAAAACTTCGAAATTTTTTTATATTATTGCTCCATCTTCTGCTTCTTTAGCCTCTGTGGAAATGGAATGGGTAGCTTATAGGGGTTGATGGTTGCTGTTGCTTTATCCTGTGATATGCCTGAAACATTTTATATTACTGCTCCATCATTTGTTCGTCATGCTCCACAGTCTTTTCTATCACAAGAGTTGTTGTTTTTTTATTTACACCCGACCTTTTGACGTGTATTTCAGGCAGCTGTACCCCACTTCGAGTAGTAATTGCCTTCGCATGTTCTTTTGTGTTTATTTTTGTGTTATTTAGCAAACTACCTAGTGCTTTGCCAGTCAAGGCAACTGCCATTTGTCCCTTTTGAGTCGCTAGATTTTTTATGGCGGCATTTTGGTCTTGAAGAGTGGCTTAAATTTTCTCATGAACTGAATATTGGTTTCCTTGTACTAATTAGTCTTTTCCATGAATTTACCGAACATCTCTTCCAATTGAGGCTTTTTCTCTTATTGCTGATTTTATCCTTATGGCCTATTCTGATTTTAGTTGCTCCAAGAGAAATTATGGTGTTTTTTTTTCAACTGGGATTGTATGTTCCCCAAATGAAGTATTTTGCTGGCGTTGTCCCCATTGAGCATAACCTGCCTGCTCTATTCCTTGTATTAAGATTGAAGATTCTGCTGTTACATGTTCAACTCCACATTCTTTACAATTGACCTTCTTCGTCTGTGTTACGCTAGCTGATTGTAACATGTTTTCCACCTTGTGAAATAATGAGTCAATCTTTGCAGATAAGGCAGAATATGCGCCTACTTCATACTACCGATGTCCTCTTCTGCACTGCTCGTTCTGATGTCCATATAGCTTATTAGTAGCCATTGTCTCAAATAGTTTCAGTGCTTCATCAATTATTTTTGTGGACAGTGATCCGTTAGATGGGGAGTCAACCATTCTCTAGAAAGTTGGAAGTAATCCTGCGTAGATGTATTGGACTTGGAGTCCCTTGCTGATTCCATGATGTGGACATTTCTGTAGCATGTTTTTGAACCTATTCTAAACTTCATCAAAACTCTCTGAGTCGCCTTGACAAAAAATAGATATGTCATGCTTGAACTTTGTAATTTTGGTGGGCAGGAAGAACTTGGGGCAAAATTTCTGTGTTAGATCGTTTCATGTAATAATGCTGGCGATTGGTTGAGAATCCAGCCATTTTATTGCCTTGTCGCGTAAGATATGTGGGAACAACCTCAATCTGATAGCATCATATGAGATTTTCTGATATTTGAAGTGTTGACACATCTCCAAAAAGCGAGAGACATGTACATGTGGGTTCTCTTCAGCTCTACCATAGAATAGATGTCTATTTTAAAATAGTTGTATCACGTTGGTCTTTAATTGGAAGTTAGGCTGCTCAAACGGTGGATACACGATGCTTGACTGTTTTTGAATTATTCGTGAGGTCATGAAGTCTCCTACAGACATGTTGCCTTCATCGGCTATCCTTTCTTCATTGGCTTGAAAGATGGGATTTGTAAATTGGCCATTTGTTGTGCTTCCCTAGTTTCTCGCTGCATTTGATGAAAAGTTCTTTCTATTTCTAGATCAGCTGGAATCAGGTCTCCTTCAGTAGATCTTAGCATGCAATTTTGCCAGAAAAAATCAGTAATAAAACTTAGATACTGGACAAATTCGAATAACAAAATGAAATGAAAATAAAATAAAAAGAAATACAGAGATTAACGTTTGAATTAGTGCCAATGTAAATAAGATTAAATGAATACTCAATCCTTGGTAACGGTGCCAAAAATATGTTCACGAAAATATTTTTCGATTTTAAACCACCGCAAGTGTACGGTTTGTTAATTGTCCCACAGAGATTGAGTAGTTTAATTATATCTACTTGAACTTAACTGAAACCGAAAGATAGAACAAGATTTGTGATAACATAACTTAACCCTAATTTTGGCCTAATAAGCAAATACACAATGACTCACGTGAATTTGAATGCAAAATGAATGTTAAATGCAAAATTGATGAAATCAATGAATAAGAATCGCACTAGGATCATGAACTCCCCACGCAATATCTAATTTTAACCCTAGTTTCACAAATTGACAACACGTTAATATTTTGAAGAATCAATGCTCTTAATACTACCTACCATCTCTCTCAAGTAAAGTTGTACCTACTCTCATGTCTCACCGGCCTATACTTCTATGATGGATGCAAGTATACAAGAATGCATGTAATTTTATGAGTATTTAAAGATTCATACAAGGCATAGCGATATATCTCTATCTTTTATCGGACTCTACAATGATTTATACATTGTCAAACTCATTCCCCTTTTCTCAAATGCATGGAATAAGTCATCACATTCATATAATTACGTGCACTTAATTATTAAACCAATTAATTGTATATAAACCATTCAAAACTCAAGCACGTGTTTCAATGTCAAATTTGCAAAAACTAGAACTTAAAAATCACATCACGAAGTTCATCAATCTCCTAGTACATGAAAACCTAGCCTAACATGAAGAAAAGAACAAAATACATAATAGTTTTAAGAAACGACATTACTGGTGAATGAATTAACGTGTAATCTCCTTAATCTTTGCGTTTCTACTCGTGATAATGGTGTGAAATCCTCTCCAATATGAGTTATTCCTCTTCCCAGACATTTTACCTTTAATTTGACTGTTTTAGAATTTATATATCACATCCTGACGAAGTTACACAAGAGTTTTAACGAAAATAGGAAACTGCAGAATTCGGTCCCAAACTTGGTCTATGCGACCGCATAGGTGAAAATATTTTGGCCCCTAAATTCTTTGATGCCCATGCATATGACCGCATGGGAATTACTACTATGCGGTCGCATAGTAGTATTGACTTTCAACAATCGTCATTTTGGTCATCTAAACTTGTTTTCTTCAATTTTGACCTCGTTTCTTCATTCTTTTCATTCCATACATCAATAGTGGCCTCCAATTGGTACTTGGCTCAATCAAATCCTCAATATCAATACCGATTCGATTCGAGCTCTTGGAATTGGAAACTCTTTCGGGTAATCTTTTGGATAATTTCACTTTATTCCCTAAACTTTCTTTTTTCTTCATTTTGGTCATTTTTCTTGTTTTTCTTCCTTTGATCATCCCGTATTATTCCCGAGTTGATACTCAGCTTATTTGCGTTCTTGATTCACCTTTTAGTTCAAATTTTGGTTATTTGCACTTTAGTTCCTGAACTTTTGTTTTCTTTCATTTGGCCCATTTCGCACCTTTTCTCTTGAATTCCATTATATCAATCAATACAGTCTTACAAAACAAGATTTAATAGGATTAAGCCATATTTTGTTATATTTATCAGGAAATAGCCAGGTTTTGTGGTTCGAATAAGTGTGTAAAAACACACTTATCACACTTTGACATCAAGATTGAGGGAAATCAAAACCATTTAACTCTTCTTGTATAATTTATAAATTGCACTGCTTAATGCTTATATGTACTGTTTTAGAAGATTGCGAGTTAATTCTTTTCATCTTTAGGTGTTGAAATTTATTCTAGGAATGAATAGGGACATTATGTGTTTAATATATGGAAAGAATTATGAGAGTAGGGGTGCACCGGGCATGAATGGTGGAATTTATTTGACGGAATAAAATGAAGGGAAAATTGCAACAGCGGTCATTAATACCTTTCACTTTTTTGTAGACTTCACCCTAGCCTTCAATTTGTATCAAGGAAAGTCTCTAACCTTTTAAAATATGTAGCAGAGGTCCAAATGAATGGTTTGATTGTTAGATGATCAAGAAAAGTGAATTTTTGACAATTTTTGACCAAATTAAAATGGGTAAAATAGTAAATTGATAATTGCCATAAATAAATGAACCAAAAAAAAAAATCATGAATTTTTTTTGTTCTTAAATAAAAATGAGTTGTCTCCTTTAGCTCCCCCACCCCACCTCACCTCGTCCTACCCTTTTTTCCTCTGTCTCATTCACTTGCTTCTTCTTCCATATGTCGACCCCACTTGTCGATGACCCCTTCTACCTTAGTTCGTCTGCTTTATTATATCAAACTCTATTTCAGTAGCCTCATTTATTCTGAAGTGAATGATATATGGAGAGGATGCTTACAGCCTCAAAATACAGAAGAGAATGGAAATTAGATATCAAAGCAGCTCTGATGAAATCCAAAATGCACTTTCACTAGCACAAATACTTTGGTCTATCACCTCACTCAACAAATCCCAAGAAAAAGATTATTTTGCTGCTGCTGCTTCAAATTAGGGTTATTGCGTCTACTGCTTCCCTTTTCCAACGAAGAAGAAGCTTCCATTGTTGGCAGTGGTGTGCGATTAAATTCTAGCGATGGTACCCGCAATAGGTGACAGTGCTTGTTTCAAGGGGAAAGAGGATGGCATGGGTGCGTGGGATGTGGAGGCGCTAAAGGAGACAACCCTTTTTATTTTTATTTCTTTTCTTACTTTTTCTTTTTCTTTTTTTTTTTTTTTAAATTTCATGATTTTTGGTTTTTTGGTTCATTTATTTAATATGGTAATTATCAATTTACCACTTTACCCTTTTTAAATTTTGTCAAAAACTATCTAAATTCACTATTCTTGATCAACTCACGGTCAAATAGAAATCCATTTCAACATCTGTTGTATATTTCTTAAAGATTAGGGACTTTCGTTGGCACAAATTGAATGACAGAATAAAGTCCGCAAATAATTGAAAAGTGCAATTTTCCCTCAAATGAATGTGGTGGTTTGATGATTTTTATTTCTAGTTATTTATCAGTATATTTGAAATAAAAAATGCTGAATAGTACATATGGCAATACACGGTGGAAAGCAGATGTGATGGTTTATCTTTGGCTGTTCGGGGAAGAATCCACCAATTAATGAGAGGTGATCTGGGAAGTTGAAAGATGTTGGTTAAGAGGTAATTTTAGATTTTACA